TGCCACCATGCCCAGCTAATTTTTTGTACTTTTAGTAAAGATGGGGTTTCACCATGTTAGCCAGGATGGTCTCGATCTCCTGACCTTGTGATCTGCCCACCTCAGCCTCAAAGTGCTGGGATTACAGGTGTGAGCCACTGTGCCCAGGCTTTTCTTTTCTTTCTTTCCTTTTTCTTTTCTTTTTTTTTTTTTTTTGTCTCTCTGTGTTGCCCAGGAGGGTCTTGAGCTCCTAGGCTCAAGTGATCGTCCTGTCTCAGCCTCCCACAGCATTGGGTTTACAAGCATGAGGCCCCTGCTTCATTCTTTAGGCTTTCTCAACCATGTAGTTCTTTCAGATAGGGCACTACTCCCTGATCTGGATGAAAGTTAAATACCTGTCTCCTTCCTTTTCTTAATAATAAACCAGTGTTCTTTACACTTTTGATCGCACGCCCCAGTTAGTAAAATTATTTTTAAAAACACATCCATATTATATTTTTATTTATCAACTTATATATATGCAATACTGCATATATTTTATGTATAAATTGAAACATGAAAAATATGAGAAAGTACACTGTTTCACATTTTTGTTTATCAACAGAACCCACCATCTCTAAAATGTTATTAGTCTATTCTCTCTTTTTTTTTGAGATGGAGTCTCGTTCTGTCACCCAGGCTAGAGTGCAGTGGTGTGATCTTGGCGCACTGCACTTCTGCCTCCTGGGTACAAGCAATTCTCCTGCCTCAGCCTCCTGAGTAGCTGGGATTACAGCGTGTGCCACCACATCTGGCTGATTTTTGTAATTTTAGTAGAGACAGAGTTTCACCATGTTGGTCAGGCTGGTCTTGAACTCCTGACCTCGTGATCTGCCCACCTTGGTTTCCTAAAATGCTGGGATTACAGGTGTGAGCCATCACGCTCAGCCTGTTAATCTTTAATAATAAAAACTTTGGTTAACTTTGTGATCAAAATGCATTGTTTTCAAAATTCTGGTTTTCTGTTTTATGATACAACAATTCAAACATCTGGCTTGATTACAGCAGAAAAAGATACCATACTACCTCAAAAAGATGATAGCATCCTCCAAATGGAAGAATTGCATTATTGGCTGTGCCAACAAAATTATTCTACTTATTTTCTAATGCTGTACACTGAAGTTTATTGTGAAATTCAGCTGCTAAATTTACATCATTCATGTCAGTTTGTTGTACTTATAAACCAATTAGAAAGTTATATTAATTTTTTTTTTTGAGACAAAGTCTGTCACCCAGGCTAGAGTGCAGTGACACAATCTCTGCTCACTGCAACCTCCATCTCCCGGGTTAAGCGATTACCGTGTCTTAGCTTCCTGAGTAGCTGAGATTACAGGGTTGTGCCACCACATCCAGCTAATTTTTGTATTTTTAGTAGAGATGGGGTTTCACCATGTTGGCCAGGCTGGTCTCGAATCCCTAACCTCAAGTGATCCACCCACGTAGGCCTCCTAAAGTGCTGGGATTACAGGTATGAGCCACTGTGCCCAGCCAGAAAGTTTTATTAATTATTTGACAGATTTTTTTTTTTTGAGACGCAGTTTCACTCTGTTGCCCAGGCTGGAGTACAATGGCACGATCTCGATCTACCGCCTGGGTTCAAGCGATTCTCCTGCCTCAGCGTCCTGAGTAACTGGGATTACAGGCATGCGCCACCACGCCTTGCTAATTTTTGTATTTTTAGTAGAGACAGGGTTTCACCATGTTGGCCAGACTGGTTGGTTTTGAACTCTTGACTTCAGGTGATCCACCTGCCTCAGCCTCCCAAAGTGCTGGGATTACAGGCATAAGCCACTGTGCCCGGCCTGTGTAATATCTGGGCTCTGTGTTCAGTATTTGAAAGATTTTTTAACAGGTTAGAAAATTTTGTTTTCATGTTTTTTAAGTACAGAAAAACGTTAGCAAACCTCTGAAGAATACACAGGATTTCACAGTCACTCCCCACTGTACTTTATATACTTTTTAAAACTATTGTTAAGATCCTATTCAATAGACACCATGAACCCACTTAAGCACACTGGATAATCGGCAGACCCAGGAAGGTGCAAGTTCCCACTGTCAGCCTCTCTGATTGTGGAACCTTACTCTTATATTATGTGTTACAGAAGACACCAGACTCCTTGTGTACAAACTGAGGGAGGGCATCAGGATTATAGATACATTAAAATGATGAAGTATAAATACTATGAGTCAAATAATAGAAACAGGCCAGGCACAGTGGCTCTTGTGTATAATCCCAGTACTTTGGGATTATAGACAAGGTAGAAGGATTGCTTGAGCCCAGGATTTGGAGACCAGCCTGGGCAGCAGAGCATGAACCCATCTCTACAAAAAAATTAAAAATTAGGACTGGGTGCAGTGGCTCACACCTGTAATTCCAGTACTTTGAGAGGCTGAGGTGGGCAGATCACTTGAGACCAGGAGTTGGAGACCAGCTTGGCCAACATGGTGAAACCTTGCCTCTACTAAAAATACAAAAAAGTTAGCTGGATATGGTGGCATGTACCTGTAATCCCAGCTACTCAGGAGGCTGAGGCATGAGAATTGCTTGAACCTGGGAAGTGGAGATTTCAGTGAGCCAAGATCACACCACTGCACTTTAGAATGGGCAACAGGGCAAGAGTCTGTCTCAAAAAAAGAAAAGGAAACAAAGTAACAA